ACTTCAGCAACGGAGTCACGAAGATAAGCTTGATATTGACTGCACAAGAGGATGAACAGCTCAAGCAATTAAGACAACACATTCGTATGAAATTCGGAGAAGAGTTAAACCTGAACGCCCTCGGTGTATCGATCTATTTCACCATATATATAGAGATCAGAATACGACTAAAGATTGGGTATATTCTTGTACAATTCTCTTTCTAATATCGAACTACCTGACTTAATCTGTCGAGAGATATACAATGTCTGTAAATATATTTTAAATATGTGTTTTGTTTCGCGTGGTGTCCTTCTATTTTCGTACGAAAAAGTACATCTTGGTTCTATTCCTTGAGAGAGATATAAAATTAATAGATCTTGAAAAGGAAAACAAAAGAAAATGAAAAAGAAAACAAGAAAATAAGAACAGGCGAGTAACTATAAAGAAAAGGTCTAAGTATTCACACTACAATAAATCTGCATACGTTATATCTGTAACAGAATTTTAACTTCTGGCTTCACAAAAATTAACGATGGCATCATCGTCGTCGTTGTCTACACAATCCACCCCATCGTCTTCATTATTATCGATATCAACTAAACCTATTATTACATAAATAATATCGAACAAAGGACGAGATATGTTAGTTATCGATGGATTCGAATTTCAATCGAAAAATTCTGCCAAAACGATAGAAATTTGGCGTTGTGCTAATAGAGATTGTGGTGTTATTTTGCATACAAATATTCATGATGAATTTTTACGTTATTCTGGAAAAGGTACGGAACATTGTCATTTACCAAGTACAGTCCGAGTAGAAGTTCGCAATGTTAAACAGTTAATGCAAGAGCGTGCCAGAAATGATTTAGCACCATTACAACAAATCGTTGAACAAGAAGTGAGAAAAGCATTGTTGACAGCAGAAGCTCTTGCATTATTGGCCAGTATGCTAGATATGGGTAACGTTGATAGATCAATGTTTTATGTTTGTTTATATGAATGTGTGTCTTTTCAGGTCATACATTACTGTAATTTCGTCGTAAAATGACTCCTATTCTTCCAGATTCATCGTCATTTATTATTCTACTTCAATATGCAAGAGATTATCATAACAATCAGCGATTATTACTTCATAATAGTGATGATCCTCTATTTCGAAATAGTAAAGCTGTACAACCGCGTGGAAGAGTGCTAGTTTGGTCGTCGGATACTCAACTCAAGCTGTTGTTCGATAGTGATCGCGTATTTATGGGTGGCACATTTAGTACATGTGCCTCACTTCGACCAGGTGTATATCATGCATGAAATTGTACATGACACATGTAAGTTAGCTTGGTTTAGACAAATATTTACCTATTCATCTACTGATTTTTTTGGTTTTTTTCCTTGCTATACTTGTAGGTTTACCGGTGGTCTATGCTCTACTTTCGGATCGTTTTGCAAGTACATATGTGTATTTAATCAATGTCTTGTTTACTGAAGCAGCTCCATTAAATAAAAAATTTGAACCGTCGCTGATAATGAGCGACTTTGAACCTGCTCTTGCAAAAGCAATTATGCTTGAGGTACTACTTTTTATCACACCAATCCCGCTTTTAATTGAAACTATTTGCATCGTTTCTTTTAGTTTAACGAGAAAACAATCCACAAAGGGTGGTTTTTTCCACTTTTGTCAAGCAGTTTATAGGTAGGTGCAATCACCTGGCTTATCATCGACATATCTGGACAATGTTATGATATGTAGTACTGTTCGACAAATGATGGCATTAGCATTAGTTCCGGAACAATTCGTTCCATCGTTGTTTCCTCATATTGGTGAGGATTTAGATGATCCTGACCGCGATGAACTATCTGATTTATTCAAATATTTTGATGGATATTGGATGAGACAAATACCAATATGGAATGTTTCCAGTTTGTGCCAAAGGACAAACAATACATGTGAAGGTATGTGAATGTCTACATGTTTGGGTGTGACGAAAATGTAACTACAACAACTTTTCAGGTTACAATAGTCGATTGAAAAAACGTATGGCTAAAATCCATCCAAACATATGGCATTTCATCGATTCAATAAAAAAAAGAGACAAATACCGTTGTTATGGCACATATTAAAGACGTGCCATAAGAGACAATTGTATAATAGTCATATATATATTCGTTCTCTATTCTTCTGCTATGGGTATTTTCTCTTTCTGTCATATATGTATCTGTATTGTTCTCTTTCTTTCTATCAGG